GCGGGCCTCTCACTGTTGTGGCCTCTCCCATTGCGGAGCATAGGCTCCGGACACGCAGGCTCAGCGGCCATGGCTCACGCGCCCAGCCGCTCTGCGGCACGTGGGATCTTCCCAGACCGGGGCACGAACCCGTGTCCCCTGCATCGGCAGGCGGACTCTCAACCACTGCGCCACCAGGGAAGCCCTAACTACAATTTTTATCTACTTAACGTTTTCCCATGTGTTCTTATAAAGTTCCTCAAATATCTTTTGTACATAAGGCTAAATAGTAATACTTTTTAAAAAAATCTCAAAACAACTGCTTTATTTTAGTTGTGAGGATAAGCCCCTACGTGAAATTTTCAGTTCAAGGATCCAGTAAAATGGATCCAACTGGAATTCCTGAGGAGTGGAAATAATACACAAGTTTGGCAGGTCTTGAATTACATGCAGGTAAACCTGGATCTGCTGACTTACCTGGAAGTAGGGAATGTGGATAAAAGCTACCATCTCATCTTCATCTTTTCATTAACTCTTTTTTCAAGAGAATTCAGAAACTAAACTGGGTACCAAGATTTACTAATTTAGACTTTGTATGTGTATTATTTTCACTAACCTCTTTTAATTCAGACTAATAGCAACAATGAAATTAGCCTGTGTTCACTTCTGGAGTCAGCAAGATTGAGAAGAGTTGGGATACTGTATAAAACCAGTTTGGGAGAAGAAGTCCTAAAGGACAAAAATGTAGTGAAAGCATTAGAAAGAAAAAGTAGGCTGTTCTCAGAATTAAAAAACAGTGATCTGGCCTTAGGTCCAAGAGGTAGCTTTTGGTCTTTAATAAGAGAAAATGTAAAAGCCTATGATGTTTCCAGTATAGGATAAGATAAATAATTTAAGGGACACTCTAACTTAATTAGAAAGAAAAAAAAGAATTTTTTTTACTTTATTAAAAATAAAATATAGACATGTGAAAAGAAAAACCATTTCAACATATGAAACCTATTAATAATAAAACCTATTAATATTAAAAAACAAAAAAACAAACATAACATAGGACTAGGATGTAGCTTCTATACAGAAAGGAATATAGATAACAAGAATTCTGATTTTATTTTTCAACTAAGTACTGTATTTCTGAAGTGTAATAGTATCAGAATTCTTAATTATTTTCATTTTTCAATTTTGGGGAATCTGGGTCCAGAGACTTATCTGTTACTTAATATTATAATCATGACCTTGATTGATGGCAGGTTTTGGTGAACTTGTGCATGTATGTTTTAATTCTAATTTTCCTCATGACTAAATTTCCCTGTAAATCTAGCTTTTAATTTCACTGACAGTATTTTTAAAAAAATAACAGTAGGGCTTCCCTGGTGGCGCAGTGGTTGAGAGTCCACCTGCCGATGCAGGGGACGCGGGTTTGTGCCGGTCCGGGAAGATCCTACATGCCGCGGAGTGGCTAGGCCCGTGAGCCATGGCCGCTGAGCCTGTGCGTCCGGAGCCTATGCTCCGCAACGGGAGAGGCCACAACAGTGAAAGGCCTGCGTACCGCAAAAAATAAAAATAAAATAAATAATAATAATAATAATGATAGGTTATAATCTATTAATGGGAATGGAGGGTTCCTGAAGAT